GCTGGGACGGCCCAAAGGTCGGTAGTGGAAGCTAGAAAGTCTGCACCAGCAGAATAAAGAGTCTGTGCTAACAGGCTGAGGGATCTGGACTGGAGCCACGAGCTGACACTCAAAACAAGAACCAGAGCTCCTCACAACAGTGCCACAGCCATCCTCAGTGACAGTGAGGTCCTGAGTTCCTCTGCCAGTGAGAACAGCAGAGTCGGGATCAGGAAAGCCCTCTTGACAAGCTTCCAGGGAGGCTTCACAGTGCACCATCAGGGCCAGAGCACCCCCAAAGTGAACCCTAGCATTCTCTGCGATAAGATCCTGAGCTCCTTTGACAGTGAGAACAGCCAAGCTAATCAGGAAAGCCCACAGCTCCCAACAGCTTCTAACTCTCTTCTCTCCAAGTCTTTTTATTTTGTTGGCAACACTCCTCAGGTGGCCTTCCACACTCAGCATCGTGCTGGTTCAGTTCAGCTGGGTGCTCCAAGTGGACCACCAGCTGTCACCCACCACATCCAGGGAGGGGCGTGTGGGTTGTGGCCACCATGTGGCTGTTGTGATAATGCTGCTGTAAGAGTGTACAGGTATCTCCATATTCTGCTTTCAGTTATTTTGGATTTATATGTACAAGTGGAAACCACAGAATCATTTCTTTCTGTTTTAAAGTGTGTGTGTGTGTGTGTGTGTGTGTGTGTGTGTGTGTGTGTGGAGAAGGGACTAGAGATTGCACTTAGGACTTTTGCACTGAGCTACATCACCAGTCCTCTTTTTTTTTTTTTTTGAGACAGGCTTTTGTAGGAATCTGTTGGTCTCTCAGTGTGATCTTATACCTGGGTAGCTGTGGCAGGAATGAGGAAAATATAGACAAGAAGAGAAGGGCTGGGTTAGGTGGTGGCCTGTCTGCCTGGTTGGTTACAGTACCCCCAGAACAACAGTGTGGGCCTTTATTTATACCTTTAAAAAGTTATTAACATGGGACATAGGTTGCCTAGAAACTAACAGCCAGCATTAACATTACTAAGTCAGGATACTTGTTTCAGGACTGAGATAGCTTGACTGCTTTAGGCGCTGAGGCCTAGTCCCACTTTTGCACAGATGACCAATTTCCAGCTTCCTTGGCTCCCAACAGGCTTTTTAAAATCACTTAGTTGCCTAGCCTAGACCACTAAAACTTGCAGTCTTCTGCCTCAGTCTCCCCAAATGCTGGGGTTACAGGTGTGTACCTCCATGCTTGGTGTTTTTCATTTTTGAGGAAACTATAGTGTAGTCTATACTATTTTCTACAGTGGGATCCACTTTCTCTATATTATTTCCAGCACTTGTTTTGTTCATTTCTTCTGATAATAGCTATCCTAATGGATATAAGGTGCTATCTCATAATTTTGACTTGCATTTCCCTAATGACTAGTGACAGTGAGCCTATTTTAATGTGCTTGTTGGCTATTTGAATATTGTGTGTATCAGATCAAGTCCCCTACTTGGTTTCTTTGTTATTGTTGTCTTTTTGAGACAATCTTGCTATGCAGTTCAGGCTGGCCTTGAGCTCACCTTGTATCTCAGGCTGGTCTTGAACTCATAACAATCCTCCTGTCTCAGCCTCCTGAGTTTTGGGATTATACCTGGGCACTACCAGGCCTGTCAGGTCCCCTAAATTTTAATTTGGTTGTTTGACTGTTTTCATTTTGTTTTGTTTCAGCTTCCTTTGTGGAGGGAAGGCTCATCCTTCTTATGGGTACCATAGCATCTTTCTGGCTTGTAGAGACTTCCTTTATTCTGAAGACTGTGGCACTGTCACCCCCTATTGATTTAAACTCAATACCCACTCTGTTCTGGCTTCCTGTGTCTTCTTCCTCTTGGGCTGTTAGTCACCAAAATTGTTGAGTATCTATGCCGTCTTGGTCTAATCCATCCTTTCCCTGTGTTTGGCTACTTCCCTGGCTCCAGAGTGCCAAGTGCCACCTCATACCAGTTGATTGGCATCAACTCATCTCTGATGTCTGGTGGCATCACAGGTGCGGTCGCATGCATAAAGGGTGGCCTAGCATGCATTTATTTATTTATTTATTTATTTGGCGGAACCGGGGATTAAACTCAGGCCCTTGTGCTTGCCAGGCAAGCGCTTATTCCACTGAGCCATCTCCCTGGCCCTATTTTTTTTTTTTAAGGTTTCAATTGTACTTTATTTCTTCAATAGGCCAATTTTTTTTTAATGTAAGTTTTTATTGAGATAATTATGGATTCATGTGAAGTTGAAAAAAAAAAAACCTATTCAGACAAATGTGTCAAGTTAGGTGTGGTGGTGCACGCCTGTGATCCTCAGTCAGGAAGCTGAGGCAGGAGGATTGCTGCAAACTCCAGACCAGCCTGGGCTACATAGTGATCTTTTTTTTAAAGATATAGAGTCTCCCTGTGTAGTTCAGGCTGGCCTTGAGTTCACTATGTAGCCCAGGCTAGTGCTGAACTCTTTTTTAATTTTTTTTTTTTTTCCCGGAACCGGGGATTGAACTGAGACCCTTACGCTTGCCAGGGACGCGCTTATTCTACTGAATTCTACTGAGCTATCCTCCCTCCCCCGTCCCTAATGCTGAACTCTTGAGGATCCTCCTGCCTGTCTCCCAAGTGCTGGGATTACAGTTGTGAGCCCCCGTGCTCAGCCCACCTACACTTGTTGTTGTTGTTGTTGAACAGTGATGTAATTTCCAATCCAGGGGAGATCTGCTTGGTCTTAGAATTTGGAGTCAGTCTGTATTTTTGGCTCTTGAGCAGAATTAGATGGATCTGCACATTGGACATCCTTGTCATTTCATCCACAGTGACAACACGTGAAACTGTGCCTTTTGCATCTCAATCTGATCCTCTTTCTTAACTAAATCATTGGCCCCTGAGGCAAAATATGCCTGCTGAGGCCCACAGACCTTCGTATTCCTTGGTATAGATGCAGGGGGTATTGTCAGAATGATAAGCTGAATACTTTCGAGGTGGTGGCTGCTTTCTCTTATTTATTTATTTATTTAATTTAATTTAATTTATGTATTTAGTACAGGCTCTACAGGTCTCACTATGTAGATCAGACTCGTGTGATCCTCCTGGTTTCAGCCTCCCAAGTGCTGGGATTACACGTGCACCATCACACCCAGTCTCAATGGCTGTATCAGCTTGCGCCAGGGCAGGGCCTACGTGACTGGTAAACCCTGGCCCCTGTGCTCTGCCTAAGCAGGAACTTCAATCTGCTGACCTATCTGGCCGGCCCTGCTTTCTCTTTTAGAAGTGTCTTTCTTTTCAGTTGCCAGGAGGCTTTGTTGTGTCCTCCAGTCCTTCTCACTTTGTTGGACCCAAGGTTGGTTCCCATGGCAGACACATTTGTGCCCCCTTGCTTTGGCTGTGCTGGTCCTGGTGCCTGCATTCTCAGTGATCTCCAGACAGCCAGCATGGGAGAGAGCCAAGTGCCCTGAAGGTGTCTAGTGCTGTCAGACCTGGCCTTCCATTTTTGTGTTTTTTAGCTAGCTCCTTACTCCCTAGTCCCAGCCCCCTCCTTGGCCGGTTGAGATTGCCTCCTAAATTTGAAGACACTTGGATTTATTGTCCCTAGCATACAAAAACTGTAAGACCTCATTTGCTGTTGGGAAATGTTTGACCCAGCCTTGGGCATGTTGATCTTCTAGCCACCAGCAAGGGCCAGTGGAGCTCTTAAATTAGGAGAGAGAGCTGTGACTAGGATGAATAAAACCCTCCAGCCATGTAGGATGGACAAAACTCACCTATACAAAGTGAAAGTTGTGAAATTCAAATGACATGGGGTTTTTAGGAGGAGGAGATTAGAACTAGGGATTGAACTGAAGGCCTTTGCAGTGAGCTATATCCCAGCATTTGATTGTTGAATTTTGAGACAGGGTTCTGCTAAATCAGTACATTGCCCAAGATGGACTCGAACTTGTGATCCTCCTGTCTCATCCTCCTAGATACTGGGATTAGAGGTGTATATACCATGCTCAGTAGACAGTTCTCTTTTGAGGACATCTTCTGGACCCCTTTAAGAAGTAGTTTGAAATAGTGTGCTTTGGGTTTTTTTTTTTTTCTCACTGTTTTTCAAATTCTTTTGATATACATAATTTCCCCAGAGTTAACCTAAGTGAAACTCTCCAGTTTTTATTATCTCTTCCTAGAGAAGTGCAAACAAGTGTCCAATTTGTAATGTGGAGTTCAGAGGAGGAAGCTGGCCAGTAGTCTTGTTGCCATTACTAAGTAAAGGCATTGGGGGGGGCCTGCCCATTAGCTCAGTTGTTTAAGTGACTGCTTAAACAAAATAATCAGGATGTTGTGGTTCAATTCCCCACACCTGCCCTGAAGGCATTCCTGAGCCACCCCAAAACAAAACAAAACACTTCTGAAATTTTGGGGGCCTGCCCATTAGCTCAGTTGTTTAAGTGCCTGCTTAAACAAAGCAGTGAGGCTCAGGATGCTGTGGTTGGATCCCCAGATCCTCAAGCCAAGCCAGACCTGCCCTGAAGGCATCCTGAGGCCACCAAATAAATAAATAAATAAATAAATAAATCCTACTAAGTAAAGGCATTTGTCAAACATTATAAATAAAAAGATCATTCCTTTGACCTGGGAGAACCTATTTGTTTGTTACTTACAAAATAGGACACAGGAAAATAGCAGGACAATGACCAGTACTGTTGTGTGTGTACAGTCTGCAGAATTTTTAAAGTATGGATATGTTGATCCTAAAAGGAACCAAAGACATCTGACTCTGAATTTTTATCTTCTTGTCTTTCAACGGGGCTTCCTATGAGTCTCTTGTGCTTGAATGGTTGGGAGATTTGGGTTAGGATAGTCCTTTGTAGAACTCTTTAGATCATGGCAGAACTAATGCTCTGCCTTCAAGTAGATGCCTTTAGAAGAGGGAGATTAGAAGGCAGTTAGCAGAGCACCCTGGCCTCCCACCCATGTGTGAGTAGAAAAGGCGGAGACCAGAGAAACAGTCACACTTATGAAGGCCCCTTATGCAGGTGCCAGCAGAGGTGGAGAAGTGTCAGGATCGCGTGGAGTGCTTCAATGCCGACCTGAAGGCCGACATGGAGAGGTGGCAGAACAATAAGCGGCAGGACTTCCGGCAGCTGCTCGTGGGCTTGGCGGACAAGAACATCCAGTATTATGAGAAGGTAAGGAGAAGACCCAACATGACTCTGATTTCTAATAGCTAGCGCCTTTCATGAGGGCCTTCCAGAAATCCAGGGGCAGGGACCCTGCTCATCGTGACTCCTCATTTCACCTGCCACCTCAGCTCCCATGTGGGCCCACGTCCAGATGCAGCGTGGTGTACGTGGGTTTCCTTGAACTCTTAGGTGCTTGAAGGAACAGCTTCATCTTCTGTGTTCTTGGGTTCTACAGGTGGCCTAAGTCAGTTAACCTTCACCCTGTGGGTGTTACCTGTCCATGGAGATTTGGAGGTTACTTAATGCTGCCTCGTGGGTCTTCACTCTTGTTGACCCCTTTGGTCTCTGGTGATGCTCATATACCCCTTATCTTTAACTTACTGTTTGGTGTTGGGACTGGGAGTATAGTTCAGTGGTAGAGAACTTGCATGGCCTGTGCGAGGCCCTCAGTTCAGTCTCCCGTACCACAAAACAACAACAAAACAGGCTTTTTATCCTTTTTGCAGCACTTGGGATCAAGCCCTGGGGTGCTCTATCACTGAGCTACATCTCCAGCCCTTTTTATGTTTTGAGACAGGCCCTTGCTGAGTTGCTTAGGCTGGCCCCAGACTTGCCTTCCTCAGCCACCCAAATAGTTGGGATTATAGGCATGCCCCATTGTGCCTATCTGTTAGCTTTTTTTTCAGAACTGGGGATTGAATTTAGGCCCTTGCCAGGGAAGCACTTATTCCATTGAGCCATCTCCCCGGCCCTGCTATTTTTAAAATAGACTTTAATATAGTGTTTTTAAGTATTTAAGATGAAGGTATATAGTGTTACAAAGGAAAACAGTTTTATTAAAAATATTTTATTTATGGATCCTCTTAACCTATAGACCTCAGGTTAAGCAACACACACACACACACACACACACACACACACACACACACAGTTCTGTCAAGCTATAGCCCAGTCTCCTTAATCAAGGTTTACTCTTACTATACCTAGTTCTTGGTCATAGTCATTTCTGCTGATGAATCTTTTTTTTTTTTTTTTTTTTTTGGTGGGGGGGTGGTGTCTTTCTGCAACAGGCTGGCCTTGCACTCACTTTATAGCCCAGGCCGGTCTGGAACTCACAATGAGCTTCCTTAGCCTCCCAAGCGCTGGGATTACAGGCGTGCACCACCACGCCGGGCTGCTGATGGATCTTAACTCTCCGTAAAAGCTAAAATTCTAGGGAATGGGCTAATCACAGTTCAACAAGTAAAGTTTTAACCTTCAAATCAAACTGCTGGAAAGATGAGGCCTCCCAGTGTGCAGACAGATAGTAATTCAGCTCCTCATACCAGAATCCCAGAAACAGGTTGCACTGCAAGCTGGAGAGTGTATATCTTTCTCAAGGTGGTGCTGGCTCTGGTTGCTGCTTAGAGGCCATGTGTTTGCATCTTGTCCAGTTCACCAGGAGGATGGTTAAGGAAGCAGCGACAAGAGCCCTTGTTTGTCAAGTGTCTGGGAAGGCTGCTCCCACTTCCATGGAACCCTTGCAGGTATCCAGGGCTAGCGCTGGACTGGATGCTTTGCATGTGTCATCTATTAGGTCATCCTTCACATCGCACTGTTGAGGGCTTAAGTATTCTCAATTTAAAACCAAAGAAACTATAGCTCTACAGCATTTAAAAATTCTGTGAAGGTGACCCAGCCCATGAGTGAATGAATTAGTATTGTAGAGCTAATGGGTCCATAAGGCTGGGTGGTTTCCACACACTTTCACCCTAGGAAATGGGCATGTAGAGACAGCCTGGCTGCCCAGAGATGGGAAGATCACCCCAGGAAGGTTTTCTTTTTCTACTGACTGTGCCGTCATGCAAGGTGCCTGTCTGTGCCTCTGTTTCTTTCTCTGTAAAATGGGAGTGATCCTTCTTTGCTGAATGACTATAAAGATAAATGAAATGATGTGTGTGTGCACTGAGCACATACCTAGCTACCTAGCACATGGTAGGCACTCCATAAGTGTTACTTCCTCCCTTGACCCTGTCACCTGCCCTTCATTGTTCAGAAGGCTTCCTGTTAGTCTAACACCAACCACATCCAGTGTCTTCCTCCCTTCTCTCAGGGATGAGTCCTGGCATCCCTAAAGCCCCAGCCCCAGGATTCAAAACCAGATCTTACGTCTATACTTTTCCACTATTCCACAAAACAGGGTCACTGACTTGGGGCCTGGCCTTGGCTCCTACATGATATTTCACCAGTGCTTTTTGTGTACTTTTTGTATACACTATCTGTGTGCAAGGAACTGGGTAGACAAAACTGATAACACAAATCCCAAGACCCCTTCCCTTAAGATGCCCTTCATCCAATGGAGGTTAGGCATTTGTGCAAACATCCACAGCTAAGAAGTGTTGGAAAGCAAAAGAAAAGGATACCTGGAGAAAACACTAGGGGCTGTTATTCAGGCCAGGGCAAGAAAACCTGAACTGTGGAAATCACATTTATACTGAGCCATAGAGAAACAGACTTGCAGAATATGTGTTCCAATAAAAAAAGGAATATTTTATTAAAGGTCCCTGAGATAGAAGAGAGCTTGGGACATTTGGGGACAAAAACAGAAAGCAAATATGGCTTCAGTAACTTATGCTTGTAGAGAAAAATTTTTCCAGATCTGAGCTGATGGCCTAAGGAGAGAATAAGAGCACATTCTGGGTCCCTGGCTGGGAGCGAGCTCCTTGAGGCACCCAGCCTTCTTTATATGAGATGATCCTCTGAGCCCAGTTTTTTCTTTAACCTCAGAGTAATCAAGAAAGGAGCAGGGAGCAGCATCACTGCCTCTCCTTCCTGTGTGACCTGAGTGAAGATGCTGCTGTTGTCTTCCTCAGAACACACCCCAGATGACTCCGCACCAAATTCTCCTCACCCCCGCCTGCTCCCCGACAGACCCAGTGCCAGTGAACCCATCCTTTCCTTTATGGAAGAGGCTGCTCTAAGGGGGGATCCTTTCTACTAAGTAGGCTACTAGGGAGGACCGTGCCAGAGTTGGGCAGGTTCTTGGCCTGTCATAGGGGTCTAGAATGAAAAGGGATTGGTGTGGTGGACAGATGATCAGTTTGCTCTGTGCCTTTGGTGCTGTGGGTTTTGGACCAGTTACTTAACTCAACTTTAATTTTCTTCATCTGCAAACTGTGTGTATAATAAATAATAATGCTTCCTCGCAGAGTTGGTGATGATGAATGTGAACATCTAATAGTATCTAGACATAACGGAACTCAGTTGTTTGAGTCCGCTGCCCCATTCTTCCTTTTGGGAGATCCAGGCATGGCTCAAACAAGCTCATCTGATATTGGTGAGGAAGAGCTGGTTTTCCACCCCCTCTTATTCAGGTGGTTGGCCTATGCATGCCAGGTGTCAGTCATGGCTACATTCTTCTGTAAGCCCTACCCACACCAGAGCAGGGCCTTATCAAGGGCTTTCCACTTGATCTCTCTTGCTTTTTCAAGGGAAAGATTTTTCTTCCAGTGAATCCATTTCTCCTCACCGGGTATAAGCTTAAGGCACTGCTGTGAGCCTATGTAAGCCTTGTGGTTTACTGCTGTTTTTCATAAAGATGGGAATATCACATTCAAGACAAACATCTGTTACCTACCCTGTTGATGATAGCTATGGATAATACATATAGGTGGCTTTAGACAAAGGTGACCTAGCAGGATTGACAATGAAAGGGTAGACCACAGCTGTTGGTTGAAACTCGATGCTAATTTTGTGTGCCTGTTGCCGTTTCAGTGCCTCATGGCGTGGGAGTCGATCATTCCACTGCTGCAGGAGAAACAAGAGGGCAAGTAGCCTCCTCCTTGGAACAGAGGCTCTCCTACCTACATGGGCGTGGCTGTCTGTACTGGAATGTCCCTGCGGTGCCAGAGGGGTTGGCGCTGTGAACGGAAGCACCTCTCCTTTGTGTATTCTCCCCCTCTCCCCTGCACCCCACAGCAGTTGTTTTCAATTAGTATTTATTCCTTGGTGGAGTCTGTGAGGCTGTAATCATCTCTCAGAACAAGAAGCATACCTCCGTGTCGTGAAGGAACCTACTACGTGGAACACTATGAAGGCTTCAGTCTGAGGAACACTGCAACCCACAGCTGACCTGTGGCATCTCATGGGCGTTTCCTGTTTGGAAGTTGCCAGTTGTGGGAGAGGATCCAGGTCCTACTTTTCAAGGACAGGCGGGAGTTGTGAAGAGATGCACTGTGGCTTGCAGTCGTGGCAGCAGCCCTGCCCTTGACCCTGTGGGCACTGGCTTGGCCCAGCCTAGAAGGAGGTGTTGGGATCTCCAAGAAAAGTCCTTAACTTACAGTGGCCTGTAGCTGTGAGTGTGGCCTGCTGCCTGTGATGAGTGACATGTCTTTTGTTTCTGGTTCATGTGGAACCATTGAAATCAGTGTCTAGATGCACCTCGCTGGAGTAGGCAAGTAAGCGTCTTTGTCCGTGTGTGATGCTTTGGGGAGCGGCAGGAGTGTGTGCCCCTTGATCATGTTCCTGACACCAGAATGCAACAGATTAGCAACTTTTTGTGGAAAATGAAAAAAGGTGCAATTTTCTCTGTATAGATCTTTAGTGTTTTTGTTTGCTAATTGTCAGTACAGTCAAGATTAAATGCATTAGGAAATACCTTTTATTTTGCATTCAGAGTAGCTCCCCTATTGTGGAGATTAATGGGCCTATACCAAGCCCCACTTTCACTGTCTGCTTTGTGCAGTTTGCCTTTACCTCACCAAAAATACCTGGTTGAGTACTTCCTACCATGTCCATGAGATGTTTGGGCAGCCTTTTGGGGGGAGGGCTTATGTGTTGTGTCATTACAACACAGTCAGCATTTGTAAACTCAGCGTGAATGTTCTACATAAAGTGCTTTAATCCTCCACATTTCCTAATCAGGAAGAACAGTCAGTAAGTACTTCAGGGGCCTCGAGGTAATAAGGGTAACAGTAAACTATTTGCTTCTAGCTAAGCAAAAATCTCAATTTGTAGCCAAATTCCTGGGGGCTGCTGGGTGTATTTAACATTTTCATTTCAAACTATTGCCAGGTTTATTTTTTAAAATCATCATAAAATTAATAATCCAAGGAATGCTATCTTACACTTTTTCTTTTTGCCATATTGTGTTCTTTCTTCAGTGACTCTTTCCAATGGAACTATAACTGTAGCATCAAGTAAAGCAGTAGTTATTTTTTATTTAGCTTGGTTTGATTTGGTTTTGAGATAGGGTCTCACCAAGTAGTCCAGGATGGCCTTGAACTCACCATATAGCCCAGTCTGCTCTTGAGCTTATAGTGGTCCTGCTGCCTAAGCCTTTGAGTACTGGATTACAGACATGCGCCGTCATACCTGGGCTTTTTTTTTTTTCCTTCAGTGAAGCAATTAAAACACTGCTTCACATGCAAGTTAAGTTACAGATGCCTGTCACCATGCAGCATGCTGAAGTCACTTCATTCTACTCTAACAGCAGAGTTAATGAACTGGGACACTGTTGAGGCCACAGTGGGACAGCATAGAACAGTTTGGTTCTGTTTTATTATATTAGAGTCACAGAAATGATAATTTTTATATCACTTGGTACTCGCTGTTACTGTTAAACCTCATCTGTGCCATTCTAAAATCCTTTGATGTGAATTTTCAGCTTGGTACAAATAGAAATGATTCACTGAAGTGGAAGGGTAAGAACACTCATCTACCCCATCTCCAGTGACTCAGCATTTCATTCTACCTCTAAATCATTGTGTTGGTGCGGGGATGGGTTTCCGGGTCCAGCCTGGGGTGTCTGGGTCCTACCTGACCATATGGCAGTAGCGTCAGGGTGTATGTTTAGCATCTGGAAGCCCACTGTTGATGCCTGGCAGAAGACACGAGACAGGCCCAGCAGCGAATGTTATCTTTGGAGCATAGAAGCTTTTACCTTATGGGTTGTGTGCTTTAAAAATGTTGTCCAGTATAATGAATGCTTGGAAAGAACTGAGGAAGGAGTTCCAGGGAAGCTAAAATCTGGTGACCTGCTGGTTGCTAAAGCCCGCTCTTTCCCAGGCAGTGGTAGTTGGCAAAGGAGCAGTCCTTTCCAAACAACAGTGGCTCCTCCATCTGGGGCCATGTCATTCTCTCGCATGGGATGCAGAGCACTGGCTCTGAATGGACTCAGGCACCTCCAGATTTTTGTCTTGATCTGTTTATTTCATTCCCATGTGTTATTCCTGTGCTTTGGGACACCAGGAAGAGCTGAAGCAATGTGACCTTCATATCTTCCAGGCAGAGCCAAGAGGACTCATGTATGTTAATGACTTCTGTGGATTATTGACCTTTCCCAGGAAGAGATTGTCATGCCTGTGCTCAGGCTGGCATCGATGGAGTGAAGAGGCTGGACTAGAAGATGGGGACAGTAGGTAATGAAGGAGGGTCTCCATTGCTCCCCACTCACATGGCTCCCTCATGCCACAGAGATTCATCAGCCTCTTTAATATTGATCAAGCACAAAGGAGATTCTCTATATGAAGTGTAACTTGAAGATTCCTGTGCCAAAGATGGCCATGGAGAAGTTTTATTGCCCTGTTCTAGAGTCTTCAAGCATAGACCTCAGCTCACTGGTTTCTCTCTCCTGTCTTTTCTGCCAGAGTTTTTTGCTCAAGAGCATACTTCACCTCAATTAGAGGTAAAGTCATAGACAGTTTTTGAGGCTTGAAGACTTGGAATGGAGGGTTGTTTCTTGCAACTGATTGGGTTCTGAGGAGGGAAAGTTGTCCCTCACCTGGGTTAAAAATCCAGAAGCAGGAAAGAGAATTCCTAGAAGCTGAGCATATTTTAGAGAGGTAAATGATGTTAGAGAGGGTTTTAATGAGTTAAAACTGTTCACAAGGCAGTTTTAATTTGCAGCAGGTATGTCCCAGCACTTCCTCCTCAGGGTGGGGTTCCTGCAAGAAGAGTCCATGCTCAAGGCAAGAGACCACTGCTCCAGTGTGAGGGAATACATTCCTCAGCCTGGCTTGCAGTTGGGTTTCATTCTGTGATAAGGCTTAATAATGATTGCTAATGCACTGAAGGTAATTAGAGAGGTCATACTGCTCTGGAACTCACCAGGCACCTTTCTGTAGCTGTCAATGAAAGCTAGTATGACCCTCAAGATCATGAATGTAAGATAAGTGTTTCATGCCAAATTTCTGCCCCACAGACAATGTTCTAGATTCAGTTGAATAGATTTTCTCAGTGACTACTCCACATGAGGAAACTAAGTACCACCCTGTTTCTCATAGCTTGTAAGGCTGCCTGTGGTGAGGGACCAACTGGAAGATTGTTTCAGAGGTGGGCATGGTAGCCATGTAGTGGTCGCAGGTGAAGCTTCTCTGTTAGGATGGTAGCCCACGGAACACCTAGTCTGTATGACCTGATCTGCTGTCAGGAGCATTTCATTTCAGCCACAGGCAGCTGTCTCTGTTGTGATGAAGTTCATTGGTGTGCAATACAGTCATTCTCTACCCTTGATTCTGAGTTGTTGGGGGAAGAGGTACATAAGATCCTCTACAAACAACTTCCAGGGCTATGTTGGTTCTTGAAATGGTTGGAACCGGACTCTTCTCTAGTTAGATGAGGATCCTACCCATGGCCAGGACAGGGTATAGTCATTTAGATACCTGCTTGAAGGAACTATGGACAGCAGAAGCTAATTGTATGGCTGAGGTAGCACTGTTTTGGCCATCATCATTTACAAGATTTTATTGGCAGTTTGGGTTTACCTGCTACACTGTCAGAAGTCCTCAGGATGGCAAGAGATTGGATATGCCTTTTCACTGCTTGTATTTCGCTGCTTATGCTCACATGGCAGGCAGCACTTCTCAGTACATTTGAGGTAAATGTCCTCTCCTAGGCCAAATTTACTGATGGAGCTGGGTGTGTTGCAAGTTGTTACACAAGCTCATGCATACACACACACACACATACACACACACGTGCACAGTGCTGAGGTTTGATTTTTTTTTTTTCTTTATTTTCTTTTTTCAAGACAAGGTCACACTATGTAGTCCAGGCTGGCCTTGAACTCAAGGCAATCTTCCTGCCTCAGTCTTCTGAGTGCTGAGATCATAGGGAGCTGGCTTAGTACTGGGGATTAAGCCCAGGGCCTTGTGCATGTTAGTAAGGCCGTCAACCACTGAGCTACATCCCTAGCACCCTCTTCTTTCTTTCTTTCTAAAAGAAATTTTTATTTTTGAGACGGCATCTCCCTAAGCCGTCCAGGCTAGTCTTAAATGTGATCCTCCCCCTCAACCAGCCGAGGTAGCTGGGATGACAAATGAGTTCCACCACACCTCTTACTTCTTTTTTGTTTTCAATGAGTAACCCAGGGATCCAATTTCTCACTAACCCACTCTTATTTAAGGATGTCAGTTCTCCCCAAAGTTGCACATATCAGGGAAAGTGCAGGGGCTGCCTGCATTTACAAAGGCAAGGCAGGGGGCTGTTCCTGCTTATGTGTTAGAAATGCATCCTGCCCAGCCTTTTCTATGTGGCAGAAAAATATGCTATCCAGGTAGTTTATACTAGGCTGTAAATAAGTGCTGTGGAAAATAACTTAAAGATATAAATATTCTGTGTATTTAGCACTTGAAAATCAATTCCAGAATTAAAAACAACAACAACAAACCAACAGACTGTTAAAAGCCTAACTGTACTTCTTAAGAAATTTTAAATATATAATAATAATAATAATATGCCTTATTCAACTAGTGTTTTTAAAATTCTGGGTAGAAAGAGTTTTAGAATTGTAATCAGTCATTCCATTGAAATACTAGTGATCTAACATAGTCAATCCTTGATCCTCTTAAAACAACAAGACAGAAAGTGAGGGTCATGATTAGGGTGGCCTTTGGGGGGAGAAAACTACATATCGCTATTGCCAAATGCTATTTTTAATAATATAAGGAAACACAGGGAGCACAACACCTTTCATTGTTTTAAAGTGTGAAAGATTAATTTAGTGCCTTGTGGCATACTTTTGATTATAGATCTGTGATATCAGCATTGACAAATCATAGTGATCAAAAGAACTCTGTCGGTTATGTCAGCATTAAAGGTTTACCCGACTTCTACAGAATGGCTTTTTAAGATACTGGGGGAACCTCAGAGCACCATGTTTTGGTTGGAAATTCTGCACAGATTGAAATGCCAAAAGCATAAAATCTATTATAGTGACTCACATAATGGAGTCCCTCTTAGCAGAGCTTTTAGCTAAAGTCAGTGCTGAAGAGTACTGCACATGTGCCTCTCCCTGGAGCACTGCCCAGCTGCCAGATGGATCTAGCTCTCTGCAGGCCAGGTCAGAGCAGCCAGCACCTGTCCACACCCCACTGGACAGATGTTTACAGTCATGGAGTCGTCCTTGGGTCAGAAGTGATGCTGGAAGGAGCACAGTGGAATCACTGTTTCCTCAGTGTGGAAGCGGGGAGAGGGGAAGTAGCTGGCAGAGCCCTGAGAATCTGCTCAGCAGAGCAGTGGCCGTGTCTGCCCGGCCTTCATCAGGCAATGAGCCAGCAGCTCTTCACTGACAGCACTGTCTGCCTGGAAACACCTGAGATTTTGTCCTGTCCCACGGAGTCCCTGGTCCCTGTGTTTCTGTGTGCCTGTGCCCTCCACCTCTGTGAGTCAGGACTGTGTGAGGTGACCGTCGTCAGATACACTCCCATGACACAACTGCCAGCAAACTTTCTAAACTTGTATTTTAACTGTCAAGAGATTGAAACTTTTGCTTAGAACATGTCCAAATTATGGACTGTGTTTTTTTTTATTTAAAAAATCATTCTTTATGTTTAAAAACTGAAAAGAAAAAACTTTCTGAGGTATTGGTGAAGTCCTTTGTGTGTGTCACAGTCTTTCCATGCTGCCAGTAAGCCACAACAGAAGCTGTGAAAATGAAGAGTGCTTGGGAGTGTGCGTTCCGAAAGTGGCCTATTTACAGACTGAAGGCTTTATTTCATGAAGCCACCAAATGTTAAAAGGATGTCACCCCTTTTTCTTTATTATGAATCCCAGAGATTATAAAATTAAAGAAAAAGGTTTTTGTTGAATTTGTGATGCCGGCACACAGTTTTTGTCCACTTTTTTTTTCATATGTCTATGTATAAAAAATTCTGTTGTTTACTATGGGATTAGTATTACATTTTGAGGTAAACAAAGAATTTGTACTGCTTGGTAAACTATTAGCTTGTAAATTTACAATTTCTTTACCTCAAATAACTTAAAATAATGGACCAATAAACTGATAAAAGATGCTTTCTTTATCTTGAGTCCTGCTCTCATTTGTACCTGTCTGTAAGTCAGGAAAACATGAGTGCCTCTTCTTTTCTTATTTTCTCTGAAAAGATAGCAGTTTATCTGCAAAAATCAGGAAATACAGAGCAACAGGACAAAAATTATATATATATGTAAA